CATTTAGAACTTGTGTTAGTCTTCTGTTACTGATCTTCATTGATTTTATAAATTTGACATGCCACCATTACAAATTAGGCCTTAACATAGTAGTTATTAAGGCTAAAGTAAAATATAATACAAATACATTCGGTAATAGTTGAATAATGTTGCAATTGCGAATTTGTAAAATTAAGATATAATCTCATACATATTCCGATGAGTTAAATGTTGGCAATCTTAATTGCTTTTTATATATTTGTAATAATATCAAGGATCCTAAATGTTATATACCAAACAAATATCCTTGAATTTTAAGTTGTTGTCTTATTTATTATTTATTATAAATAAATAGTTTCAACTTCATAGATAAAATATTTTCTCACTTTTAGGGATCAAACTATGGCAGTGATGCACTACGTTTCGTTAATATTTCTATAGTTTCAAGAGTATTGTGCGCCAAAATATATCAGTCATTATAACTAATGATATGTTATGTGCAGGTCAAAGTGGCAAAGATTCTTGTCAGGTGAGATACATTGAACTGTAAATATAATATTCATATTCACAAAATTAATATTCACAGTTTTTATAACTGGATAAATAAACTCCACTTTATTTAACAATAGTTTTTATTTCATTAATGGAAAATTAATACTTCAAACTACTACTTCAAAATTAAAACTTCTCGATTTGAATTTTTATATACAAAATAATTTTTTTAACGTAATAAACAATTTGAAGCATTTATGCAAATCGTGTGCAACTTATATATTTATTTACACATATGTGGAAATAGGCAATGCAACTTTTATTATAAATTGAAATATTAAAACGTTGCTCTGGATTGCTTTTTATTTTCAAAAGTGAATTTCGCATAATTTATCAAAACGTAGTATAAATTGTAAAGAAACTTCTGAGACCTGACTTTGGCATAATTTTATATCACACTCAAAATTATTTCCAAATACTCGCATTCCTATGATTTTATCCTCTGCATTTTTTCTCTTCTTGGATATTATATGGAGAAAATTATTGCTTACTCTGATTGCGGTTCTATTTTTTAAAAAACGTATATGTTAACTTTGGAATCTATCTTATCAATGTTAACTTTGGAATCACTAAAAATATTAAATATCATAACTGACTTTTAAAGATTAATATTATAAAATAAATTATTTATTATTATGAATGATATTAGAATGGATCAAACAAACACCATAGATATTGGAAATTTATTCCAGCATCTATTTTCCAGGGAGATTCAGGAGGGCCACTCGTGTGCGACAATAAACTAACAGGTATTGTTTCTTTTGGAGCAGGCTGTGGCGATGTACCTGGTGTATATACCGATGTCTCACATTACTTAACATGGATCAAAAAAGCTCAAAATGATGGAAGTGTTATCAAAAATTCACTATATCTACCTATAATATCAGTCATAACAATTGTTGTAAATGCTATGCACTAGTCAGTTATGTGACATCAAATACAAATGTGTTACCTTATTCAATTTTAAAAGATTAGTTATTTTTAGTGATGTATTATATATTGAATGAAGGTTTCTGAATTTTTTGAACATTTAAGAATTTTTTGGATGATTTGGAAAATCAAAGATAACTATAAAATAACATGTAACATGACTAGACCTTGTTGCTTATAAATGCTTAATTTATTTTTATTAAAATAGCGTTTTACAACAGTAACGAAATCTGTGTCTTAAGTTTTATTTATATTTTATCATATCAACATATTTAAAATTCATATATAAAAAAATATATAAATAAAATATATATATATATATATATATATATATATATATATATATATATATATACAATCCTAATTTTTTAAGTAATTTATTGCAAATGAGTTAAATTATGATATAGATAATTAGCACTATCTAATTTAAAATACCTATTAAAATCTTTTTGTAATCTAATGGTATTGAAAGATTACTAATTGCAGATATACCATCAAATTAATCATCAACTAGATACCAAAAATCGTAAATGTTTTACTATTATCTGTTAGATAAAGAATTATCATCGAAAGCAACATGAAAAAAATATAATAAATTAGTTATTTAATATCGGTTCGTTTGAAGTGTTGCAAAAATGAATATAAATATAAGTTTTGTGGTTCTAATCTTTATAGTTCTTTCAGTAAAACATGGTAAGGTATAAAAATTATTTATTAAAATATTTTTGGATAGTGGCATTATATTTTTCATTAAAAATGCTCATGCTTATTATCAGGCTATTCAAAACACTTGGAAACAAAAATTATTGGAGGTGAATTTGCAAGAGAAGGCCAATTTCTATACCCAGTAAGTGAAACTTAGAAAAATCGGCATGTTACATTAATTGAATAAAAATATATAATTGTTCTGAAAATATAAATTTAAATATTTAAATTCTTTATTTTCATTTTCTCAATCACTTAAAATTTTTAATGTTATTTTATTAATTAAAAGTATTATAAACATTTAGAATATTTTGGCACAGGTTTGAAAATGTGCAAGATTCTTCATAAATAAAACAGGATGTAAAATTTTTGTAAAAAATATAAATTATAAATGTATTCAAATTTCGTTGCTGTTTTTTAATATGTTATATAAACCAAATCCAAATGTGTGAGGAACTTAAACCGGTAAACATTTCTATTGTTTTTCTAATACTTCAAAAGTAAATTGGTTTCATTAGTTTACAAAAGTAAAAATAAACATGGTTTTAGGTATCACTTAGAAAATTAAACAAGCATATTTGTGGCGGGGCTTTAATTCGAAATGACACAGTGTTAACAGCTGCTCATTGTGTGGAAGAGTAAGTATATTTTTTATTATACATATTATTGGCTAATGATTCTCATTCATTCTCAAAATCGAACCCACCACAAAAGTCGTATTTCTCCAAATGCTTCAAAATCCCTTTCATATTCATTTGAAGATTACATATGAAACAAAACAATTGATTCTAGTTCAAACTTTAAAAATTCTTTTTATCAAAGTTTATATTAACACTTTCCACTCGTGAATTCAGAGATTTACATGAATTTTGCCGCCGGAGTGCCGGCATCCGAGTCGAAAGGGTTAAATTTGAAATTAGTAAACTTGGCTAATAAATTTTGTCACAACATTTTGAATTTTTATACTGTTTGGACTGAACAATTATTTGTATGTGATACTGATCTAAATCTATGTAATGAAACGATAATTAATTTATCTTTCACCTGTACCTACTCAGGAAAGTTCAAAGGTTTGATATTCGTGTATCATATTTATCAAGTTGGTAACAAATTTAACAATTAAATAAAAAAAATCAAATTTAAAATTTTTACACTCATTTGATTTTAAGATTTTATCTGAGAAATTCGTTGCAAATCCGTTATATATAATATATATAACAGATGAAAATCTATCGAAATTGATACAAAAGTAAACAAATGTTAATTATCACAATAAAAATAATTAAGTAATTATATCGGATTTGCAACGAATTTCTCAATATATATATTTTAAACAATTATATTTAACTTTTATTTGATTTGATCAAATTTTGTAAGACTTTGAATCACTAAATTTATCTTCCAAAAAATTCTAATAAACATATTCAGTGATTATTTCATATATCTTTCCCTTACATTTGTTGACTCTATTTTATGTTTATTTTCAGTACGAATCTTTCCCTTTACACCGTGGCAGTCGGTATTCTTGAAATCACGCAAGCCAAACCAGATGATATATTGAAAGTCAGGAAAATAATTTCACATGAAAAATATGACAAAAACTCGTTCCAACATGATATCGCTGTGTTGAAGGTCAATACACTTTATTAAGAGTTAGATGAGAAACAATTCTAATTTATTTTTATTTACAACTTGAATATCTCCTTTTTGTATAGATTGAAACTGTGGATGGATTAGCCCCTACGCATAAGGGAAGAACAATCAAATTAAATGAAGATAAAGTTAAAGATCACACAAATTGTACTGTTATGGGCTGGGGAGTTGTTCGAACGGTAGGTCTACTGATAACCTTTTGCACTCGTTTGTTTTTGAACTTGAAGCATACTATGTTTTGAAAGAGTGTTGATCGAATTGTTCATCATAACCAAATTTCAAATATGTAAAATATAATCTGAATATTATAACTATTTTTGCATGTGCACCATAGTTGCAGTACATAAGCCCAGAAAACGTTGTCCTCTTATACAGTACAGTAATAGATATAAAATACAGTAATAAGTTTGAATTTAAAGAATTTTTATATCAAAATCTTAAAATAATAATTTTGATTGAGTAAATATGAACGACATAATTAAAATGTATTAAGTTTAACTTATTGTTATTTTATAATTTGTGATATTAAGTATTTTCTGAGAGAGTTTTGATCGCAATATTTAACATAGATGCTACTTAAGTATATACTAAATCGTCTACCTGAAATAAAAATTCTCGAGCTTATTTTAAGTAAGAGATGGTAGTAAGATAACCATAGATTTGGCTGTGATAGCTCGGATTTTCATCATGTATCCCGGATATTTCTAAAAGCATTTCTTGTCTCGGTTTTTTATTTTTTGTCCCGAATTGTCCAGGATTTTTGAACAAGTTGTCCCGGTTTTGATCACATAAACATGACTACCATATTAGTATTTAATATGAACCAAAATAAATATAATGCACTAGTTGTAATTTGCAAAATATGTATACAACAACTTACGGTGCGGATAATAATAAACATTAAATCATATAATCAAAATGTTTTTCTTTAATAAAGATTAAAATTAAAAAGCACGTGTTGATCAAAAATATATTTTTACATTATTTTTCACAGGCAACTCCTCCAATAGCGAGCCCATTTTTGAAATATGTTTTTGTACCAATCAATTCTAGAGTAACATGTGATATGATATACAGCAAAACGTTTACTGAAGACATGTTGTGTGCGGGTACACCAGGAAAAGATTCGTGCCAAGTAAGTTTTCCTACAGTTCATTTTTACAATAACCTTATATATAGATACATATTATACTAGATTTTTTTTTAAATTATATGAAAGCGATTTCCATCTAATACAATGTCGAAAGGAAAATGTTTGTATAGTTGCAAAGGATATGATAAAAAACGTCTGAAAATAACATTTCTCAGTTCTCTCACAAACGACCCTCGTTTTTAACTTTAAAAAATTACTCAAAATAGTCATTATTATTATTGGTGTGTATTTTAGGGAGATTCTGGCGGACCTCTAATATGCAATGATAAACTGGCTGGAATCGTGTCATTTGGAAAAGGATGTGCAGTATACCCTGGAATATACACCGATGTTTCACATTATATATCATGGATTAAAAAAGCACAAAATTCGGCGAATGCTAATAATCAATCTCTATACTTAATTATTTTTACACTTGCAACGAGTATGCTGCTTTTCAGAAGTTGAAGTTGAAGAATTATTTTTGTTTAAATAAATCTGCTTCTAAAAGATAAAATCTTTATTTTGATAGGTATTTTCTCATACTATTGTAATACTGATGGTAAAAGTGTAATTGGGAAATCATAAATATGAACGTGTTTATTAAATAGCTAGGATAAAAAATATAGGCTTTAAATATCACAGGCTCCAAATATTATAAACTGAAGTTGAACATGCCTATTACTTATTGAAAAATATATTAAGATGCTCTATATAAAAATTCTCGATTTAAGTACAGATTTGTACAGGTCATTGTTTATCCTGGTTCAAATGCTAATTCAAATGTTCATATAAATACGTATAAGTATATACATAAAATATATATAATAAATATTCAAAATAGTATAATATAATATAAATATAAATAATAGTTTCACACTAAAATTAATTAAATACTAAAGTGAATAGCAATTGATTTCTGCATAATTAAACTATGATAAATAATAAATTATTATTAATAGTACACGTGAAAATGAAGTTAACTAACTACTAATTACAAATTAAATTATATGAAATATTCAGTCGCAATTTGTCCATGTTCAAGTTGCACAAAAAATATGGCATAGGAAATAATACAGTTTTTAATAGTTTTTGAATTCTCAATATATAATTAAACGAGAACAAAAAGGCGCGAAAAGATCAGAACTATGAAACGTTAACGTTAAAAAAGTTTTAATTTTTAAAATATAATATATTATGTTCAAACAATAAATTAAAAAAAAAAGATTATTTAATATAAATTTGATACAAAAAATATTTTTTAAATTTTTTTGTTTTCAAAACAGAAGGTTGGATATTATACATGTTTAACAAATCTATCTATTAATAAAGGACATGACGTTTAGTTTTTTGTTTGTCATTTGAAGAGTTGTCTGGTATCAATTCTGCTAAATAATCCACTGATCGATACATGAAACAATGTTTATTATGATCCCAAACTGCTATTAATTTATACAAACTGCGTACTTTGATTATGTTATCATATTTACACAGAATTTATACAGTATGTCCATACTATTAACGCATTGTTGAAAAGCTAAGAGCTTCTGATTTTGATAAGAGCTTTCGAACCTTTGCAAGCTCTTTCAATAAATTTAATGTTATTTGTAATTAAATACTTGCCATTGAATGTGCACCGTTCGATGTTGAAAATAAAAAAATGTATGAAAATATGGTTATATACTCGGTTTTATTCACCTGTTTAGTTTCTGAATGTGTGATCGCAGGTAAGTGGTATAATGATATATGATAAATTATATTAGTAATTTAAAATATGCAGTCTTATGCGGTCATCCTTTGGTTAAAATTAATGTACATATAATTTCTGAGAATGAAACGCCATATAATGATAGTTTCGTAAAAAAAATTATCGTAATTTATAAATTAATTTTGCGTTTTATAATGATCTACAATTGCCAAGTAAAATATATTAAAATATCTAAGTAAATAATTTTGAATGAATGAATTCGAAGCTGTTCTAAACACAAATATAATAATTATTCAATTGCCAAATTGAAATGAATGAACATAATCATTTTTAGCAAACATCAATATCAACAAACCTAACTGAAATGAAAATTTCTTTATATATGTGATTATATTTATCTTCTGGTAAATTTTTATAATTTCATGTAGGTATATTGTACATTTATGCAGTTTTTTTTTTTTTTTTTTTATTTTTTTTTTTAAATTTTATTGGCCTCCGCTTACAGCATTTTTAGCCACATACATTATTCATTTTATTCTTCATCATATTCTATAAAATTCTTACATATATATTTCTTATATATTCATCATATATTTACTATCTCTTCTTAAATCCTAATCTTCCATTCAATTTTCATTCTTCTTCTTGTTTCTCAATATGTTCTTCTCACCTTGTAAACTTCTTTTTTTCCTATTTACTTCTATTTTTTCCTGTATTCTACAAATTAACAATTATTTGAAAGCGCCAGGAGTCGAACCATCGATCTCCGGCATGTGAGTCGGACATGCTACCTCTGAGCTACGTCCGCCACCATTTATGCAGTTTAAATTATGAAATAAAAATAATTTTGATGTACGAGTATTTAATAGCATTAAACTCGTATAAAAATAAATTTGATGATGCATTAACTCATTTGTGAAGAGCGCTTAAGACTTGTTTGGTATATACAGGGTGTCCCAGACATTGACGTCAAGCCGAAACAGGGTGATAGTGTTGACCTTAAATGGACTGAAAATGTTGTGATGTAATGTAAAGAATAATAATAAATTGTAATGTAATAATGAAATTATCAAATGTTTTATAATCCTGATTAAATGCGTCAACTTTTGATGAAATTCATTACACGCACACACTTTAGAACATTTTTGTTTAAACAGAGCCTCTCAAAGACGACCGATTTTAAAAATTTTAAATTCACAGTTCAACAAAAAGTCTTAATTCTTGAAAACTTGAGTTATTTTTTCACGGTTCAAAAGTTCAAATGAACAAAATTAATAACAGTTAACCACAATAACCAAAAAATGGTCATAATTCCACCAAAACTTTAGGTTGCACTTAAAAGCTCATAACTTCCAAACAACGGAAGATTAATTTTTTTCCCATATTTTTCTAGGACAATTAAGGTCAATACAATCACGCCATTTAGGCTTGACGTCAAGGTCTGGTACACCCTATATATATACAGGGCCGGTCCTGTCTTGAATGCTATGCATGCAAAAAATGCGGGCGCACGCCTTAGGGGGCGCCAAAATGAGGTTCGGAAATGGAATTTATAATATATTATTTTTTATTTTTTTAAATATAAAATCCTGAATACTTAATAGATTATAATAAACAATCCAACTTAACTATGAATCATAAAAGGCATATTCAGTTTGCAATGTGATATCAATAGAAACAATTAAACAAATAATAACTCTGCAAATTTGTAAATTATTGTTCTGCTTATTTAATATAATGTACTTTTAATTTTTTTTCTTCGTTTGAAGTTAACATGGAATCGAAAAAGAAAATATTTAGTGTTCATTCCCGTAAGAGCAAACCAACGAAAGTTTAAATTAATTATTGAGCGTTATTGATGAAAAATAGCAAGCTGATTTAATTAAAATGGAACTTGTTAAAGAAATATATACTAATTATAATAGAGAAATACTAATCTTTACTAACACTTTAAAAAGTTTAACTTAAAAAAAAAAACAATCTGATACTCTGAATATGATGGGAAAGTAAAGCTGAATACAATTCGGCCCTTACGATACCAATAAGGAGAAGTTTAATTCAATTTTAGATATTGCAAATAATGAAAAAATAAACTAAAATAAAATATAATTTAAAACATAAAATACGAGTGTTATGTCTTTGTTTGCTCTTTTGTCGTGATAGGTTGCTCTTTAGAATAACTCGCATAATAAATAAGTTAAATGTTTCAAAATCATAAATATTAATATTACACCTACGTTAGAAATATTTGAGAATTTAAAAATATTTGATTATGATCAACCCGCGAATAGCCTCGATTTTTTAAATAAATTTAATGTCAATGTATTTTATACGCTTTTAGATTATATCTAATTTTTTGTGTACTAAAGTGTGTGTACAAAAATCCAGAATGATTGATAATTATAATTATTTACTTTACTTCATTTATTTACTTTACTTTAATTATAATTTAAAAAAAAAGGAAATGTTTATATAATTTCAATGAAAAACTGTTAAAACAGTTAAATATATTTGGGGGGAGGGGGCGCTAGAACAAATCTTGCATGCGGGCGCTGAGGGCCCCAGGACCGGCCCTGTATATATATATATATATATATATATATATATATATATATATTGGGTGGTCCTTAATATGGACATTTTCGAATTTCCTTGCTCCTAAGAGCTCAAATGGTTCCAAAGTGATAAAAAACAATTCTCTGAAAGTTTTAGCTCTTAATATTGTCTTTTACTTAGGGCGCAATTTAATAAAAGCTTTGTATGGAAATAGCATGAAAAAATTTTCAAAAATTTTGTAGATCGTCAAATTTTCAATAAAAAATGACACAAATTTTCAGTTTTAATTCATTTGTCGCTAAGTTATACCTTTTTTTTTCAATTTTCAAAATTTTTTTCATGCTATTTCCATACGAAGTTTGATTGAATTGCGTACTATTTAAAAGTTAGTATTAAGAACTAAAACTTTCAGAGAATTGTTTTTTATCAATTTGAAACCATTTGAGCCCTTATATAAAAACAATCATTGTAGTTGAATTTAGTACAACAAACATTTCAATTATTCATCCAATTTACAGAATCGCATGCTTCTAACCGCATAGCTGGTGGTTGGGAAGCACAGACAGGAGACCATCCCTATCAAGCATCCGTGCGATATTTGCACGTAGACGCCAAGTACGGCCCTGGAACGGGGCACTTTTGCGGCGCGACAGTGCTTACGCCTACAGCGGTGTTGACAGCAGCGCACTGCGTTAACGATGAGTGAGTGGCGTTGATAACATATGAGGCGATTTATTAATGAGCAAACAGAGACTGTCTGTCTCTGCGTTTCCCAACTTAATGTTAAAAACGGAAATATATAGTGCGATTAGTATATAAAATATAAAAGAAAAAAACAAAGTTACCTAAGCTTTATAGATTATCTATAGACAATCGGACTAGTATTGGAATATATAAAAAAACAAAAGTTCACGTATTTTGTTCTAATTCACAGTTCTTCAATTTGTACAGAATTAAAAACAAAGAAATATTCAATGCTATTCGTTATTGTGATCCTTCATGCGTCTAATAAAGAACTCCGATGTTTTAACGATTTTAACGATTTTAACGATACGACGATTGCACAAATTATAAACAGACATTTTAAAATAAATCAGTTTTAGAATATTCTGTTCAATAAAATTGCATTTGTATTTTCTGGTTGGTATGCAAATTTCGATTACATATTTCATTTTTTTGTGTATATCTTAATTGAATGACACATTCATGACATTTTATGTACACATAAAATATGACGCTCGAAATGCACAATTTAAAATAAATACCAGCATTTTCTTTTGGCGGCTTAGCAATTAATTAGATATAATTCAAATATGTTCCATCAAACAAAAAACTTTATGCATACATATCCCCTTCAACGCTATGCCCGATTTCTAGATAAAAAAAATCGAATAATATTTATTTAGAAAGGGCCATTTATAAATATAAGCCCCACAGAAAATTATGTTTTATATACAATTAGTGATTTATTGTATGTAAAAGCTAAAATAAATCGCTATTAGATATTATTCTAATAATCCATGAGACAAAATGGCTTAAGGTTTATATTTGTTAATTAACAGCAGTAATTTTAATTTAACGACTAAAATTATATAATGTAAATATTGAATTATTATTCCAAGCATACCTTGGCAAAACAGTTAATTAATATTTTATGTTTATTAAAATAAACCTAACAAGTAAAGGTAAATCTATATTTTTGTAAGAATATGTATTTTCCATGTAATTTTCTTCACGAAAAGCGACACAATAATCAGAATCAAAATTGTTTATGGACATAATGAATGTCGAAATGTCTGAAATAATCAGTTTTTTTTTTTAAAAAATTATCACCGCAAGAATATTCAAGGTTTTGAAAATATCTACCGAGATAACTTTAGACGATGTATAAATATATATTTCAGGCAATAGAAGCGAAAGTGTTTAGAGGTCTAGAATATTGTAAGTTTTCATTTTGATGAGATCATTGGAATTACGAGAATGGAAAATATAAAATTTGTGGTATACATCGTGGGTATTAAAGATGTTATTAAACAATGAAAAAACAATTATTCGGTTATCAAAGACTAATTCATTTAAAAGAGTAAGAGTATTTTTTAAATCAAGTATTAAGGAGTTAATCTGTATCAACTCTGTGACATAGAATTCGGTAAAATACTTGCTAGCTAGATTGCATCATTTTGATTTTAAATAATACTATAATCAATTAATTCATTCATGTTTTCATTTACGATCAGTTCCAAAACAGTAGACAAGAGTCTCATAATGGTGGCAGCTGGTTCATTGGATTTAAATGATACGGAATATACATCAATGCGCACAGTCAAATCGATAGTGACCCATGAAGATTTTGAACATGATGGATGGTTTAATGATTTGGCCATCATTTTTGTGAGTAAAACTAGTTTTGTCTAACAACTATTAACGTATTTTACCTATAAAAATAGCATTTATTGAGTTTTCTGAAAGAAAATGCGAGCCTATTCCTCGCTTTTCCTTTCATGTGCAACTGTTCTCTATTTTTATAAAAGTTCAAAAATTCACTACTTAAGTGCTAAATTTTGGATTTTCATTATCCCGAAACCCTATTTCTTAAAAAATATTATTCATAAACAAATGATGATTGATTTTGAACAATTTTGAAAATAGTTATCAACACCATTGAATCTTGAAAATACCAATGTATCAGCAATTGGTGTACGACAAGAACCAGTAAGTGCGGGAAGCAATTGCACAGCGAGTGGTTGGGGATCTACGGAACCTTTAGAAGAAGATCAAGATAATTCGGACTTAGTAAGTTAGATTGTTAAATTTTTATTATTATTTTTTTGACAATAATCTAATATAGATATACCATAGTCTTCTAGATCATACTACAATATTACGGCCCTACAACAACTCGTTTAACTTTAAAAATTCGCCAAAGTTTGCAAAAATTGGTATCGTTTTATGGCATTTGTCAAAATTAGACCGTACGTGTACGAAAATTTATACACTTTTCTGTTGATTAGAAACGGCTTGACCGATTGTTGCATAAAACTGACAGACGGTAATCGTAATCTAGTTACATCAAATGACTTAAATTTTTGAAATCGATTTAACCGTTTTTAAGAGAAAACTTTTTTTTAACATACTTTTTTTTTCAAAATTGGTCTCAAACGGTTCAGAATGACTAGAAACGTAGAGAAAACATAATAATTACAAGTCAAATTTTTTGTGAGAACATATTTGATATTTTCCTATTATGTTATTTTCAAGGGCGGCCAAAAAATGCTTGCACGCAGGCGGTCATATACCCAGGCACGGTCCTTACTGCCAAACTTTTTGAGGCCTCTTGAAACTTTGCACAAACCATTACAAGCAAAATACAGTCATTTACCAGTTAGTTGAATTCTACCCCTAGTGTTAGGAACAATAATTCTGCCAACGACGATAAAAAACGGCCTAAACATTGATCTAGACGTCCATATTTAAAAAAAATATTTCTAAGTACAAAAGTGATGAAAGAATATATTCGACCTCAACAGTATCTTCAACCTTTAATTGAGTTCATGTTCGACCTTAACGTGATTATCACATAAACCATTAAAAATGTCTCGTCATGCCAGACAAGCAGATTTAATTTATAATTTCATTGGGATGTGTCTATTACTATTACATCACTTTCCTATTTGAAAAACATAAAATACATGCTCATTATTTGGTATTTTAATTCATTGCAATAGATCTTCTATACGAGTCAAACCTTGCTAGCTGTGGATCTCTTAGTTTGGGATAAGGAAGATTGTGAAAAAATATATAATCGCAAGTTGCATGAAGGAATGATGTGTGCAGGTCATGAAACCGTCATCAAAGACACGTGCCCGGTAAGATAATTATATATTTATAAATATAAGTAATAATAGATTTCGTGGTGAGATAATCTTGATTAAGTTGGAAATAATATTCAGTGTTTATTGTAATAAAACGTATTGTTTTATTAAGAATATCTGGAAAATTTTGTATTCAATCTATGCAAGAACATATACACAACTGCGTATATAGAAGATTACTTCCTTCTTGGAGATCTTTAGTGAAAATTCATTCGTGTGCGAGAAGATTCAGTAATATAATGCTAATAAACTAATAAATATTAAGTAAATTTTTTTTTTAATAAATATATCGTATGAAATAAAATTTCGTACGATTTTTGTCAGGGTGATTCTGGTGGTCCCCTAGTCTGTGATGGTTTACTAACTGGAATAGTATCATTTGGTAAACAATGCGGACAACTTGGAGTGCCTGGAGTATACACAAATGTAGCTGATTATTGGCAATGGATTAACGAAACTCTAAAAAATGGTGGAAGTAGTATGCATGCACCAGAAATCCAATACATTTACAAAATGTTGATAGCCACAATAACGTTGATTTGCGTTCTTATCCTAATTTGACTTTGGTTTATAATGGTATGACACTGGAAATATGGTAGATGGTTTAGCAAATAATTTTTTACAGTAATTAATTGGTAATTGGTGTAATGTATATGTTGAAATTATTGTTAAAATTTATTCGAATAATTACAATCGTTTGTAACACAAATCAAAAAGCAAACATTCTGTACATTGTGTAGAATTTAAATAAATATTCCTTAAGTACCAGAGAAAAGTATACACATACCGTTAGTTAATTCAATGTAGTCAGAGAACTTTGCTTGAAGTTGTAATGAATTATTTCAATATAGGCAAATTCATATAAAATGTGTGTTTACTTTAATGAAAAAGAATAAAACAGTTCAACATCTAATTCACTATTTAACTAGAATTAAATTTATCACAAAATGTTATATACATCTCCAGGCTTACGAGTACGACTATAAAATTAAATACTGATACCTTGCCAAAAAAATAATAAACATATAATTATTTATGTTATTAAAAAGAATTTTTATTCTTAAAAGTTTCAATAGTTTTCAAGCAAGAAAGTATAAACTACAATATAGACAGCATAAATTAATTAAATTTACTTCTCAATTAAAATAAGCCACTGAAATTAAATATTAGTTCAGTAAATTTTAGTTTAGAAGTTTATTGCAAATATATAAAAGCATTATATTTATTCGTTCATATGTTTAAATTTATTACTTCACTATCATTTATATACCGCACTAATAATTGAATAAATACAATTTAGCTTCTACAGCAGAATCTCAACCAAGATTGATCTTCCTAGATAAAATATTAAACACACGTGATAATGTTCAAATACATTCTCCAGGTGTGCCATAAATCTATATCATAGATAAGAAATGCACTAAAGAATTGTTTAAAATAGCTATGCTAATTTTAAAACAAACATTAAAATTTATTAACAAATTATTTATTTATTTTTTATGTTTGTTTATATATATATATAGTATTTGGACTAGAGTGACTGCTGTAGTGTTTCAAGTCAAGAAAAGTGAAAGCACAGGAAAATTAAATTTGAGGAAAATGTAGAGACATGGAAGCTCAAGTGAAGAACCAAAATGTATAAAACCGGAGAAACATGATAGGGTTTTTACAAATTGAGTTTTATCAAAGGATAATTAAATTATTGAAATAGGTACAGCATTATGAAAATGAAAACATCGGCAAAATGCTAAACTCTAGCTCACATATACAGGCGCACACGCATATTTTTCCCATTGTTGGTTTCTCTTGGAATTCACTTTTCTCGATGTGGCTTGGATGGAATTTTCCACTTTCATAAATTCAACGAATAATATAATTTATAAAATTTAATCATATTTATAAACTGTCAAATTCTCCAAATTTAAAAAGTAACGATCTTTAAAAAAAATCAAATACTCAATCCAACAATTTTTCTTAACGTTTAAAGTATTCAAAACGCTCCAAAGAATGTAGATAATGATCAACGATATTGATTATGAGGTGAAGTAATCTGCTACTATCAATTAATAGCCTGGGCATCTAATTGGCATTTTACTTATAATATTTTGTTTTAAACTGACGACTACGTCTGACTTTAATCATTTCATTTTCCATAAATAAGCTTGCTTTGGGAAGGTTATCATATCAACACGTGCGATGTGGAAAACCAAATTTGAACGAAAAATTCTATGTGTACACCCGTGTTGTATTATATTTGCTTTGCACCTTATATGCTCAAGCGGTATTAAGTTGTCACCTGAGACTGTTTAATGGACATATTATAATTGAAGTTCAGTTTTAATTAGACCATTAACTAGAATCATCATGGTGTAATATTTTAAATTTAGAGAAAGGTATGTGAGGAAAATAGAAAGTGTCAAGTGATTTTAAAATAATATAAATATAAAATGTTAGATAAGTATTACATAATAATATAAAATAAATAATACAATATGATGAAGTTAAAATTTTAGCTTCGTTAAGAGTGTGATATTAGAGAGCCGATTACTATGTGATATTGCCAAGCGTTTCTTTGATATTTATTTAAAAATCACATAAATTCATTTATCTAAGTTACCGCAAAATTTTCTATTACTGTGGGTATTATTTTAAATTTATATGCGTGCAATTAGATTAATTTACAATCACAATCATTATGAATAATTTGCCTTGGAAAAAACAATCGTAACAGTAAACAGATTTTGCGGTAAGTACATGGCAAATCACGATTTTTTCTGTAATACCCACAAAACAAGTTTTTATTATTAATCATTGTTTTCATGCAATGTCTGTTTATTTAAAAATGAAATGGTGATTCAAGCTGTATTAATTTATTGATATTTCAAACACGCATGTAATTAAAATACACAATTATTTGAGTGTTAGATGAGTATAACATATCTTTAAGAATTGGAACCAATAAGGATTAGTTAGTATTAATTGAAAAACAATTGTTTGTCAACTACTGTTTAAACAAAATGATTTAATCATATATTAATTTAAAATGATTCTTTAATGATAAAGATATAGAGCCTGAGAACTTGATAAACAACTAGCTTTACTAAATAAAATAGATTCTCCAAAAATTCAGTAAAATTTATTAACGTTATTCCAGCTAAAAAATTTTAAGATATTTCAACCAATAATTTTAAATGTCTGATTTCTTAAACATAAGTTTAAAAACAACGTTTATAAAAGATAACTTTATAAATAAATTTGAATTGAACAATAAAATAAAAGAAAGAAAAAGAGCATATAACTGCAGAAACAAAATCAGTTTACTTATCTTCAAGTAATTGATTGATATGCGTTTATTATGAAACTTTTTTTGGCGATATATATCATGGTCTTATAGAACTTACTGAAATACTACGGCCTTACGACAAGAAGTTTATTTTTTAAAATTTATGAAAGTTTGAGAAAATGAGTCGTTTTTTTGACGTTTGTTAAAATTAAAATTAGACGATTTACTTGATATAACGATAGAGTACTTGGTCTTAATGAATACACTGGTTCAATTAAAAAAATATTGATTTTTGAAAATTTGCTTTGAGAAAATACTCCGATTAACGTATTCGTTCGTTTTCAATTATGTGTAATAAATCCACTCGAAATAATTTTAATCACTCATAAATTAATTTATTTTTCATTGATTGAGTCGATTATTTACACATATCGAGAAGTTCATGTAAATCGTTAATGTTGTAAGTGTGATATCTAAATTATAAGAAAAATTCATCTAATACAATTATTATAAAAACACATAAGTTCTCTACATCATATTTTAAATTTATGAAGAGCAAGTTTTAAAACTTACCCTAAAGCGGTAACAACCAAATCAAAAGTTTTGATTATGACATCAAAAGTTTATAATTTATTCCAGAATTGTGAAATTGGTGACACTTTTTTCTTAGCCGCGCAAAGAAAGTTCCTTGTTTTAAATTTACCTTTTAATTGAAAAATAGTTAAAATTTTCATTATGGCACGGATCTGTAATATTTATTTGTTAACTAATTTTGCAACAGCATTTATTCATAATCCTATACAAATTCTATCAACTTGACATTCTTTGGAACCATCAACTTTTTCAAATGATTATAATATATAATATATATTTAATATAATAGAATACTTGACAAGAATGGAGTGATGGAACATAAATCAGCTGTAAAACTAGAACCATTAAAAATTTAAATAAAATAAACATTATTATAGCAGTTAATCAAGAAAATGCCTCACGATAAAGATGCCGTGTTCGATAAAGTTATGCAATCTGTAGGAGACGATGGAGCCTTTCAAAAACGATTCAACTATTTCTACAATACTGCAATGGTTGCCTTGACTGTGATGCCCTATATTAACATCGTCATGATGATGGCAGTTCCTGATCACTGGTGCCATGTACCAGGCAGAAACGAGACCAATTACTCACTCGAAGAGTGGAAGGCATTGACATTGCCAAGGTTTGTAATAGTATTCCTAAATTTTATTATACCAGTAAATTATGAATTATTTTAACTATGGTTTGAATGCAGAAATATATTGGAAGCAAAATTTGCAATCCGGGTATGTTAACGCGGACAATAAGTCAGAACTTCATTAAATCAATAAATCACGATTGAAAATCGATTAACTCTGAATATTTATGAAGTATATTAATTGAAATAAATATATAAAAAAGTACAATATGACGAATGGAAAACATTATCTCGTTTAGCAAGTGTAGATACAGCATACCATAATAAAGCATTGTGGTCAGACATATGAGTAAATTAAGCGAATTCTAGGAACTAATTTTTAAATGATATCATTGATTGTAAATCAATCTATAAATATGTTGTAGCAGAACTTTATTCACATATTAGAAATTAAAAATAACTAGATGTTATGATTCACTTACCTTTTGCCGAGACTGATGGAAAATGTAAACTAAGTCCAAACATTAAATACACCGATCTCTTAGGAGTCTCCTGAAAGAAAGAAAATAATGACTATATGAAATATATTAAATATGAGAATTTCACTAATATTTGATTTTTATTTATTTGTAAATCTAATTTAGTGTACTAGTTTGTCTTTTAGTAAATATATAATATAAATAAGATAACCCATTACTATATACTAGTTCATTCATAAATTGAAAACAAATTTAAATATTTATTAAAAGGGATTTATATATTACAGAAACACCAATAAACATTTATATAAGCATCGTATAATAATATAAATTCGGAACTTCTGTTTTCCAAAAATAAATTATTTTTTGTTAGTTTGTCCTTCGTGAAATTGATTCAATTATCTCGAACAACAATTTACAATATAAAAAGAATATAAATTTTTATTATATTTTATATTTATTATATTATATATTTAATTTATTTTTGTTAAAACATAAATCTATCGTATGCTCCGAACTTTCGTTTCGGGATAATATCAATATAAGCTATTTTTGGGTACTATTTTACTTTGTACTTTAAAATGTACTATTTTAAACTTTTTATATTACAACAGAGAATATAATTCCAAAGGACAAATCGACTACAGCTCTTGCAATATGTACAATAAATCATGGTCTGAAGAGACAAATAAGATTGAAAGTCAAATAATACGTAAGTAATCTAATATGTAAGTATGAATGTGAATATTAAAATATCGTAAACTAAAGAAAAATAATAGTTTTTATTTTTTGAAAACAAAGCTTGTCAGCATAGTTATGAATATGACAGAACATGGTATTTATCAACGGCTCCATCTGATCAAGACTGGGTTTGTGATAGAGAACTGTATGTAACTAATACATTTGCTATAGGACGTGCAGGCGAAGTCATAGGTACATTTATCTTTGGTCAATTAGGAGACAGGTAATTAATTAGTTTGAAAAGAATAAATATTTTCAGCAAAATTATTGGATATGCTATTATTTCTTTTATATAAGGCCAGAAAATTTTTGATTTAACTAATAATTTCAATTATTCTGCCAAATTCTGTTCTCATCATTAGTTGCTTTTTTAACTGAAATATGAACAAGTTTTCCAATAATCTTTATATTATATTGCCGTTATATTACATAATCCGCATGCATCGATTACGACTTAATTACGATTCATTTATGTTCTCAATTTAATTAATGAGAATGATTTAATTAATGATTTCTTGCAGGATTGGAAGAAGACCAGTATTTTACTTAAGTCTCATCACAATCGTCACCGGAAGACTAATTACAGCATTTACTTCCAGTTGGTTTATTGTTTTTATAACAGCGGCTTTTCTTGGTTCACTAACATCTACATCTGTTTTTCAAAGCCCTTTGATAATTGCGATGGAAATATCCAGAAGGTATGAAAAAAAACCCATTTGGTTATTCTAAATTCACAATAGCTTATATATGATGTCTCTACTTGCAACCGATTTAGAAATGATAATAAGTACAACATATATTTTAAATATTTATGTTAATTTTGCCAATTATCAACATAATATATCCTAAAATTATTTTTTATTGCACGTTCAAATAAAAATATGTTATATGCAAAAACAAAATAAAAGAGTTAATGAAAAAAAAACTGTAAGTAGCTTTCTACATTACCATAGTCCCTTGGTCTTCATACCCAAACGCAAAGAAGCATCACTTACAAGTAAACAGAGTTTTATCAAAAACTAATCTGGAAACATACAAACCAGTATGGCATTTTTATAGATAATAACTTAAGTAAAAATATAAATAATTAATTAGTTTATTCTTTCTTAGTGAAGATAGAGCACACATTGCCATGATGCAGTCCATCGGGTGGACCAGTGGAATGATTCTTATGCCGTTACTGATGTGGGCGACGCGAGATTGGTTTATCTTTGCTTTGGTTAGCACTATTCCATGTACAATATTTTTAATTCATAATAAGTAAGTTAATGTTAAGTTCACTACTCGACATCTTTTACATTTTGATATCTTAAATATTTTTTTTTGCTTTTATAATATATTTTCATCATACAAGTAACTTATCAATGCCTTCCCTTCCTTCATTTTATTCTAACCTTCATTTTATTAATATATTGACTAATACAAAATATTACTTGATGATTATTGGCAGTTGTAGAGAAAATGTAATACAATTTTAAGCGTTTATTAAAAGGCGATTTAAAAATCGCTTGATGCATATATACCAAAACTTTTCAATTTTAGGTATATGATTGAATCGCCAAGATGGTTGGCAAGTCGATGTAAAATAGAACGATGTGAAAATACATTAAAAATCATTTCCAGCGTAAATAAGACAACTCTTAATGAAGATGCAATTAGAGTGTTAAGAGAAAAATCCTCAGGAAAACCAGAAAAAGTTTACGGAATCATGAGTTTATTTTCTAGTTTACGTTTAGCTAGAAATACTACACTTATTGTGCTTTGCTGGTAAGTTTTCACTTAATAACACTAACAAATCCAAAAAGTAATTCCATTCAATTATATATATATAGATTTTTTAAATATTAAAATAATAAAACCAGAATAATAAACTAATTTAATTCATTTCATAGAATTTGCATGAAATAATTTTATTGCTGTAGAAAATTATAACAATTATAAATAAAAAAAAATCAAAATACTTTTCATGCAAGTAATTTGCTATGAGAATTTCATCATTATGTAACGTTGTTAAATACCCAATACGTAGAAGAAACAAGCAAGTTTCAGATTTCATGACAAATCGTATCACAAATTTCATAAAAAAAATGACAACATTTATTATTCAGTCAATATGTGGTCCAACATAGCAAAAAGTTATCAACAAAAAGTTCAATTTGATATTAATTAGCAACCAAAAAACGTGGTCATGACCATTGGTATTGAATAATAAATAACATAATGCGTTTGTAACAATTATCTGTTGCATACTCAATTATGTATTTCATACATATTTTATATATTTGCAATTAAAATTATATTAAGTAAGAGAATGAGTTAAGAATAGTGTATCTAGAAGGCAATCCATTGATAAGATTATATTAGATATATTTCTAATGAAGGATTAATTTAAATAGATTTCGCAGCCGAAAGGCTATTATGGGAAATAAAATTAATTAATTCTTCAATTTAAAATTTAAGATATTTTATAAGTAAATAATATTTTAGAAATGCCTTTATAGTATTTTTATAAAAATATTACTTTAGTATTAGAAAAGGGCAAAACCCAATGATGAGGCTTGAAAAATTATAAGATTTTTTATATAATTTTTCAGATTTTTACATTTTTAATTTAATTTGCAGGATTGTATGTTCCGTGACGTATTTTACATTAATTTTGAACGTGAGCAATATGGGAGGTAATCCATTTCTCAACTTTTTATATCAATCGGCAGTAGAATTACCAGCATATCTACTAGGACGTTTCTCCAGCGACAGAATAGGAAGACGTTGGACCTCTGTAGCTTCTTTTGGAATTGCTCTGGCAGCATCTTCCATTCTTATATGCATTGCCAATGGTAATTACAAATACATCATATTTATTGTCACATATTTATCTTTATCTCCAATTTTTACAATATTAATAATCACTATTTAATTTTATTAGCTTAAAAAAGCTATTCAAAAATAACTATGGATTCTAAAAATGAGATTAATAAAATTTATTATTTCAGATGAATCCCTCCAGAATTTGGTATCACTGTTAGCCGTGGTAATGAAATTTTGCATAAGCATCACGTTTTATGTTGTGAATCTGCAAGCAATGGAAACATATCCAACCTGTTTGAGGCAGACAGGAATTTCCATTGGAACTATAGTTTCAAATGCATTAGGAGTATTAGGCCCATACATTGTATACTTGGTATAATATTTATATATAGAATATTATTAAATAAGTGTGTGTTAAAATAATTCATAGTTTAGGCAAAGTACATCTCATAATAACAAAATGCTTGCTAACAGAAGTGTTTACAAAAATGCATAATCATGTCCATCTTCATATGCATCTTAATTATTTTGTTGTATAAAACTAACCACAACGGAAAAATTATGTAAACTAGCATGTCCCTGAACAAAATAAAACCCCATGCTTAATTTAGTACTATTAATGCTAATTCAGATTAATTTCAACAAACGGTTTTTCATTATGAATATATTGATGTGTTATTAGCATAATTTAACACATCTTGATAGATGCATCATGGGTAATTGCACATAAACATTTATGAACAATAATAAAGTGCAAACATATAAAATAATTATAGTTTAGATTAATAATTACTGGATATAATGGTGTATAATAAATAGTTTTATAATGAGATAATTACCTTTTCATAAAAATGCTCAATTATATTCTGGGCATACTGTTTAGAAGAATTCACCTTATTCTTTGTCAATACGATTTTTTTTATCAAATCTGTTTCATACATTCCCGGTTCAATTTGAATATTAAAATTAGGTATACACATCTCGTTAGGTACATCACAATTATTTATTCACTCATTCGAAGTGCTCTATGAAAAGAAGAAAACATCAAATATTTTTCTCGCATAAATCTTGGACACCAAGGACAATTTCTAGATTTTTTTCCCTAACTTCTATCTTTCAAATAAGAATTTTATTCATAACTTTTTAAATTAATCATCGCATTCAAATGGATATTTTACTTTAAAGTTCAGACAACATTGCTATCTAATACCTTCCTTAGATCAGATAAAACCTAATCGTATAGATACTATAGTCTTCCTCCATTACTTATATCCTGATTGCTCTATGAAATTCATTTTTCAGCATTGTCATTTTTGGTCATCCCTTGTTTATGACCTCAATGCTGGCCAATAGATTTTTTCCATGATTTTTTCCATAAACTGAGCAAAATTGCTTATTTTCTTAATCCTTGCAAAACAAGCGAAATTTTATATTCCGCAAATATTTTTGTCCTTTTTGTGTACTCAATATTTTATTATATATTATATTATATCATTTTTGACCAACATTTCGCGAGTTTCAAAATAATTTCTAATGCGATATCTTATGCCTTCGTCATGTATAATTTATTTTAATCTCTATTTGTTTCCACATTCATTAATTTTCCTCAATAATTTTAATTTGTGGATGATAAATGGTGTTTAAAATTTCATTACCATCATAATGATTAATATTTATTATTATATTAATGATGTCAAACCGAGGTTTTATTGCTCATTTCCATCCATAATGACATTATTAACTTTGTTTTGTGTAGTAAGAGTAAAATTGCGAGCTAATGGAAGGCTAGTGCAAAAATATTGATTGCGAACGAACAGAACATTCATTGCATAATTTTATACCAAAATTGTAACATACTCAGTACTAACATAAAATTTATTTGCGGTGACTACTTAAGTCAGTATAAAAAACAACATCCGTGTGAAACATTTCTATTTTCGATGGGTTGATGTAATTAGAGCCTTTGAATTTCGTTGTGTCCTTTCCACATTTCAATGTTGTTTCCAACTATTTTAATAAAACTATGTAATCACAATTCACGGGTAATTACTTAATTGACTTTAGCTTTGTATGACCAACGAACGAAATAAATTAATGTGTTATTTTACGCATAACATACTACAAGGTACAGAGGTATGATTTTAATTAAAATAGACTTTAAATCAATTTTTGTAAGTATTAAATATATTTAATATTTATTTGTTTCGACAACAATCAGTACTATATATGTTCTATGAGCTATTGTTAAGTGATTGCTTCACCTAGTATTAATAGTGCAACCCAGTGGTAGACCTCATGAGATTTCGCAGCAATTTTCTACCTCATGAGATTTTGCAGCAATACCCACAAAAAGCTATTTTCACATATCACACATAGGTTGTCACATTACTTAGATAATGATAGTAAAACTAATGACAAAAGCAGATTTCTATGTCATCCAATTGTAACTGTACAAAAACGTGTCATAATGACCTCATACGGTTCACACATGTAGAGAGACGCCCGGTGTAATTTTTATTCAATTCAAAGTAAAAGGAAATTTACTATGTATATAATTATATTTTGTTAATTTATTCGAGTAAACATGCTTGAAAGCTTTTATATTTTTTCTATACATTTATGCTTCTGGTTTTGCGTATAAAGGAAGTTTTTATTAATGCAAACTATCTTTTTCAAAACATGTTCTTATAATGAGTATATCATGTCACGCCCAACACGAATGTAGGATATTGAATCAGTAGTATTTTGTGAAGGTTGCTTTGGCGTTGGTACTTTTCCCTTTAATCTCATACTTTTAATATAGTTATAACTGCCACTGGCGTACATGTTTTATATCTTTGATGAATTACCCCAATGTTTTCATCATATGAACCAACGATTTCTATTCCATTTCGCCTTTGTAGTCATCAAATATACTCTATTTAAAAACTATCATTTTATGTAAAAAAAGGCAAGCACCGGTATTATCATGCAAGTGACATTGAGCTATGCCGAGTAAACAGACAGAAACCTGTATTTAAATATTTTCGTTTCATCACAGGGAACCACATATGACGCCAGATACCCGTACGCTGTACTTTCCGTAATGATGATGGTGGGCGCGACTTCCGGAATGTTCTTGCCGGAAACTTTACACCAAAAGTTACCGGAAACGCTAACTGAAGCTCACGTATTCGGCAGGGATCAGGTGTTCTGGAGCTTACCGAAAAAAGGTGTATCAAAGTCTACAGATACGGCCGTCAAGAAATTATCACAAGAAGACTGTTAAATAGTTATAATTTGTATTGTTATACATATGTTTCTTATATAATAAAATTATATTTATTGTACATAAATTATTGTGCTGAATTTTAAAATCAAATTTAACTAATCTAATACAACACAAATTTTTGTTATCAATTTTCGAATTCCATAGATATCAAATATATATAGTATTTACTATATAAACAAATTATTATTCAAATAACATTATTGAATTAAATATTGAAATATGTATCTTTTGCATTGAATTTAATCTTAAGTAACTATGTTGTAATTTCTTGTTTGTTTGAGCAGCGATTAGAATTCTGTTTATTCGTTTTTCTCAATTACAGTAGCTTATGTTTTATGAGATACTGTAAAATGGTTCATAATGCAACTCAGTGGTTGACAAGCCTCTATTTGGTGGGATTTTATAGTTCCCAAAAAACTATTGTCGCTTATCATATTTAATATTTCAGGAGAGGATCTAATGTCACTACTCTTTGATATCAAACTGGCCGAGGTGAGTATTAAACCCAGAACCAGTGATTCCCATCTATCTTCTTACCGCATAATTTCGAAATGTAAGGTATTTTTTTTAAAGGATTGACTCAAAATCAAATACGATCATCAGAATAAGCAATTTCTATATCTCTATAAAATCCTTTATGTGTATGTATATACACTATAATATACCTCTTAATTTAATTTATTTACAATTTCATATTGCATGTATAAAGAAAAACCAAGTGCGTAAAATAAAAACAAATATTAGCCCAACTGATTTAATATTTTTTTCATTTCACTCATTCAAAAGACTATTTGTGAAAAATGCAAATAATCATATTGTTATTCGCAAGAAATTTACATCTTTTGATCCCACCTCTCGGTGGGATGCAATTCATCGAAATGTTTACCTCACAATTAGTGTACCTACAGATGTACGTGAGAAAATGTTAAATGTATTAAATAACTAACGTTCCACGTTTAAGTAATCGTTTAAAATTACATCATACCTTTTTAATGCAAATTTCGTGATACTTTTGATTACCACTGTTTTTTTTTTGTTCATCAATAAAAAATGAGATCAAAGCGTATATATCCAAAATTTATGAAATACATTTTATCTCTTAATTACGAAGAGCAATTCTCATTCAAGAAACACAAACTTCACAAAACAAAGTAATGTACTAATATTTTATGAAAACTAAATATTAGGTTATTAATTATTTAAAAGGAGTCGATCTCACAAAACTAATCAAACAAGTCTCATCCAAAGTTTTTGATTGTATTTTTTAATTGATGTTTTCGAAAAATACACATTTACCTTTTACAATTTTAAAGATACGACTCATCAAAAAATTGTAAAATAATTTAATCGGATCATACCAACAATTGTTTGAAATTGTTTGAGAAACAAGTTACATAAAATTCAAAATCAGACTAAAGATTCCATAATGTTAACTCAAAGATTGTAAATGTAAGCAAATTTTACATTATTTAAATAATATTAGTTTCATTATATAAAAAGTATTCATTTTAAAGAATAATTTTATATTTGAATTAGACAAGTTGCATATTTTTAGTTGTATTGTACAGAAGGTGATGCATTTATATAAATTAAGCAATTAATGTTAGAATTTCAAATGTTTCTGTACATTTTTTATTAAATGTCAAGGTTAGGCACTATGCGTTTGCTGATATGAATCTTCATAATTTACGAACACATTTTCTAGTAAACTAAACTTGCTTTTTGTATTGAAAATAAAAGAGTATTGCATAAAATTAATTACAATCGCACGAGAATCATTATTAACATATTTAAGAGAATAAATAACAAAAAATAGCAAACTGATGATTTTTGTTCAAACGATTTTGTTTGTCAAATTTTCTAAAATTTTTCTAGCAATTACTCGTTCAACTAATTATTTTACATGGACAATACTGGAATTAGATTAACCCCGTATTGTCTAAATAATATTCAATAAGACACGTAAAATATTATAGAGTTAATCGAAGGATCACCTGAATCATGCAATAAAACTTATTCATTAAAATTATTCTATATTCATCGAAGATTCATTTTCTTTGAAATTATAATAATAGATCTGCTATACGAGATAAACCAGTCTATAATCACGATATGTTATTACTTAACTAACTAGTATATATAACGTATGTGTTAACAATAAGTAATCATTTACTAAATAAACAAGATGATTTATTTAATTGCATTAGGGCTAAAGATAATGAGACAGATGTCATGATATGACCTCACCTAATCAATTGATTTACATGAAACTCAATTAAATGTCTAGAAAATCTATGCATAAATGCATACATTGGATCATTGCGTAAGATATAATAAAATTTACATATTCTATTATTAAAATGCACGCATATGCGTGCATAACAAATTTAAATGCATTAAATTAAATCAATTATGCTGGTAGAATTAATTTACTATATATCTCGATATTTTTAGCTACAGTATGTTTTTTTTATTCTTCATATAATACATTAGTCATACGAATGAGTAATATTTGGTAATATTAATTTGCTTCTGATTTAATTATATTTTATAACTAGTTGTGTATGGAATTGTGTATTATAGAAAAAATTGATATTCAAGATATATGTAGCACTTAGCTATTTAAGTAGATACAATATTTTTCCGAAATATATAATAACAAATTCTTGAACAAATTATAGAGATACAATTTGCCAATTATCGAAGAACTGAATACACTAATCTTTAAGGCCAATAGGTATTACACAGTATTGTAATTTTCAGAATCAAAAATAATTCGATCTATTTACACAAACTTTAATACAAATCATGCATGTGTACGTTTATATGAAATTTCTTATCTTTTTTTTTTTGACTACGCAAAAATATAAATTGCATTTTTGTTACTGAAAAACAAATGTTTTATAGTTCGCGTTATATATAAATAAAATGCATTTTATAAGAGATTGACAATAGTATAAATTTAGTTTTTTACGTTTTCATTTTATTTCTTACGCCTATTGCTGTAGCTATTAGTTCATATCCATTTTGCGATAAAACCATATTAGAAAATTACCATAAAGCAATTATATCAGTTTGTGCATTTAAACAGTAGTGAAGTTTTTTTTAACAGCCATATGGTTGAAAATATTTGAAGTCAAGTAAATATTATATATATTTTTAATTTTAGTGGAGAAATGACGCCAATATATATGAGACAAGTCAGTGTTAATATTATAGGATGGGCAGAAGTAAAGGCGACAAATGTGCAGGTATTTGTTTAAAAAATGTAACCATCTATTACCACCTTATATTTGGTTTTATCTTAGTGACCAGTGACCACACCCTATATCTATAACACAGTTAAATAATTTTGTCATATACCATGGCAAATAAAAATCACTTTGAAAACACTTCAATTGCTTAATTTCATTTTTCGCAGAAATGATGTTCAATATATCATTGACACAACAAACTGCAAAACAACACGTTCTCAAGTATTTACAAAATACTTCTACTAATTATTCGAAATATGTATTTAGCGTTTATCAATTAATCGATTTGTTATAAACAGCTGCAATATCCACTTTATTAATAATTAAACTATTTAATATATAATGAATAAAAAATATTATCTCATACAATTTTGTTCAGTTTTGTGTGTAATAATTTCTTTACGTTATCAAACACATGTGCAGTTATAATATTTTTTTTTATTATAATACGCTTGAATTTTCAAATATAAATATAAAATTGTCAAAATTGCTCTGGTACAATTGCTTTTAAGCGAAAAACATGTCTATTTTTTGAACGATATTGGTTAATGGGCGAGTTGCAATTATTAGATTAGATAAAACATATTGAAATTAAAAGTTATTTAGCAGTTTCTGAATGATCAAACCATTAACTCGTTATATTCGAATTATCTCACTGAATGCGACTATAAAAAATGAATTAGTTTCATACTAAGAAGAAGGTGCATATCTGAATAAAATTACCAATGAAAAAGAATGGCTTTTAGGAATATTACTAATAATAGTAGTAACAATTGAGGCACTTTGATTTCATATTCGTTCATTATTATCTGTTTTTGTCCTACGTGGCTTTTTTTAGGACAAACCATTGATTATCCTATACTTGATATAATTTGGTTCTAATTTATCTAATGGTGATTATATATGATTTAATTGGATGCAGCAATGTCTGGGAAAGCTATTTTTATTTGAAAATATACTCATGATCTTTGAAGTTAATTGGCGCCTCACCGTAACATCACAAATCCCTCTATTATATTAATTTTATGAATTGGAAAATACTTCATTCTACATATCCATATAAATAATTATATTTCAAAACCTGTCGATCCTTTATATTATTCATATAAACGTTAATCATTTGGCAAATATGTCATTTTTGAATGCAGATACTGATATACTTCTGCATTATATATAATACATGCTAATTATTAACACATCATTAAATAAAAATTATCATCTACTAAGGTGATTGACTTTAAGAATCAATTACAAGCCAAGTGTTTATTTGCTCGAAAATCCTGTTATAATACGATTGTTACTGATCATTTATCAAAACACGTTCACTTAGATTTTAAAATATTTAAATATTTATATTCGTTCGCAATTGTGAAAGCAAACTGGCATATTGCATTCTATGACGTCAGTCGCAGCACAGTTCTTGTCATTATTGGTTTAAGTGTGTCTTCAAAGACGTTACAGGAAATGGTCCATCATCAAATAAATTGATGACGAATTGACCATAGACTAAATAAAATAATTTTGAAAAATAAATAGATTTTGTACTCTATATACAATGATATCATGCAATTGTTTTGGCAGAGTCATTGAACTATATGCATATCGAATCTTTTCAAACCAAAATATATTTCATAAGATCAGACACTACTGTTGAAGATGATTACAGTCTGCGGCCATCAACTCATACAGAGCAAAACTTCAATTAGCTTAACATTTTGTAAGTCGAAGTTTAAAAAACACTTATTAAAAATAGTAGAGGTTATGCCAGCTTTGTAATTATATAGTTCTAAGAGCGTTAGTATCAAATTCAAACTAAATTATTCAACTTTGTACCTGTCGACATTT